AAAAATCATGATTATGCAAAGTTATACATACATAAGTAACTTTAACTATTAACAGAGGCAGCCTTGCTCAAATCCACAGGCTTAGGAGTCTTCACATATTTATGTATCTTTTTTAGATCTTTACTAGCTTCCAGTTTTGTTTTGGCCTTTGTCCAGTGATCATTTGTGTCAATGTTCTTAATGTTTAAACAAAGCAAAACAAAATAAAGTCATGAAAAGTGGCGTTACACTACAGAAACAGAAGACTTTTAAGGACGTTAGAGAAATTAGTCAGCAGGACAGCAGCGTAATTATAGATTCAAAGTTGAAAGTGGCCAAAGATTATGTGCATTTAACTTCAACAGGAAGTTAGATCTTAAAGAAAGTGGAACTTAAAGTCAATTTCATCATGATGCCTAGGTTCTGACCAAGTTGCAACCTGTGGCGCTGAAAAGTGAAGCCCAAACACAAATTCCAAAAATAAGAGTTCCTTAAATGGCAAATTGAGGCTGCAAAAGTGATTCAAGTCCTCTAGAATTCCATGTTAAAACTTTGCAACTAAAACAGGCTTTGCTACATGTATCCAATTTTCCCTTTCACAAGAACAGCACAGAGTGGAAAAAAAGCTACTTTCAGCTGCTCACTTATTCACAGGGGATCACATTTGTTTTGGCAGACTTTAACATCAGATGCCTTTTCTGATGCAACCCTAAAGACATTTGTGTCTCCTCCTAGAATCAAACTGGGAAGTTTTCACTTGTTAAGCAAACATGTAAACTACTGCACTATGTAGCCAATTTTTTGTGTATATCTCACCCCTTTGAATTTTATTAAGGCTTAAAATTAATATACTATTAGGACAGTAGCCACTATATTTCTACATTACTTGGTGTTATTTAGCAGGTATCTCTGGCTAAGCGAGGCACTTGTTGAGTCTATCAATGCATCATGCTTACCCGTGTTACTATTTATTTAGTACTAGGTCCAAAAAGAAGAAGAAAAGCAAAACTGCGACTGCACTTTTAAAGCGGTTTGACATTGATTTCTACTTAATTCTGAAAAATGTTAAATGGAGACAACACAAATCAGCAAGGACCACAAATGTCACCAACTTTTTGACACTTTGCCAATCATACGGCAGATAAATGAAAAGAAAATGTTCATGACTGTATACAGCTTCTGCCTTTCCCCTTCCCTGTGACAGAGAGGGCCCTCCTTGCTTCTTGCCTCCAGGCATCTGGTGAAACCCTAACAGGAGTTGGCAGCTTAGAAAATCCATTGCTAATAGGCTCTATGTTTGACACAGTTTCAAACCAACCCCAAAGGAAACAGGTCACAACCACAAGCACATGAGCAAATGACAGAAGAGAAGTGGTGGTGAAGGGGGTGGAAGACTATAAATATATTCAGTTTATCATCACACAGGCAGGTGTTAGTAGAAATTATTTTCTGCACACAGTCATTTGTGCTGAATATAATCTAGAGTTTCTGAAATCATTACTAAGAATGAGTTTCTTAAAATCTGCACCATAACGTAATAATTATCTGGAACAAAATAATGATTTTGCTTGCTTTGTTTTAAAAGTTAAATTAATGCAGCTTCTAGAAGCAACCAACATTTTAAATTAAGATTCAATTAACAAAGGTTTTTTATTTATGTATTTAATTATCTATCTATCTATTTTCAAGAGCCCTGGCTGGAAAATAAATTACTCTTATTCGATTACTAACCTGAGTATGTTTGGATGATTAAGCCGGTTCATTAGCTGGACTTCTCTCAACATATTAGCCCTGTTACTGCTGAGCTTGTTCATCTTCAGAGCCATAACTTGGTCTGAAGCTCGATGACGTACCTGGAAAAAAGTCAAATGAAAATGTGTTCAGTTACAGTCAAATACAACCAAACACTGTCTCATCCTTCATATCTAGGGCAGATTAACTATATTCTTGTAGCAAGAAAACTATGACTGCATAATGCCTAAAATGAGCACAACAGTTAAGGCCTTGAACAGCTTGCAACCAAGTTCTTCTGCAATTATAACCCAAAAAATATATTAAATCTGGTTCTTCAGGCAAGAAAACTGAGGAAGCCAAAAAAACAAAAACAAAACAAAGGGCAGGACATAAAAGAGAAGCGAAATGAGGTCAGTCAATGCTGACCAGCCATGACAAAGGAAACAGTCAGGTCAGTGCTCCACAATCAATTTTGTATGATTCTGCGTCAGGATTTCGTTTCCATTGATTTGTTACATAGTTGTGGCATCACACTCAATCCCGCCATGGCTGGCTGGAGACTATCCCAGCACGGCAAACCTAACAGGTCATTGGATTGTGACAACTTTAAAACATTTCCTGTTGAAGCTTTGAAACAGTACAGTACACTTTTTAAAAAAAACAAAAAACAATCTACTAGCATTTATTTTTCATTGACTGCAATTGACTAGCAAGAGGTGCTATGTTGGTAGCATGTTTGAATTTAAATGCCTAAAAGTTAAAACCAAGAAAGTTGAATCAAAATTTAGAAGCAAATATTTCTTAATCAACATCAAATGTAACAAGAAATAGAGACGTGTATGCAGATTTTGATTTTGTTTGTTTTTATCCCAAATTTAAGGATATAGTTTGGAGCCATTGCAAATACAAACACACACATACACACACTTTCTAAAATATCAGCAATTCAATTTGCTTAATATATTTAATATCTACTGAAGGATAGATACAGATTATTTTATAGATTCCTGTGGTTACTATTAAAGGTAGAAAGCCCCAATGTGTCTGTCTAGACGTCAGGAGAACCAATTGACTAAGACACTGTATGCAAATCTATATAACCTACACATGCAAACTCTTTCCTCCCATCAGAAGCATTTAAAAAGCTTTTAAGAAAGTCATTTCAAAAGCCTAAATTAATCCTGTATCTAAGGAAATACGAGCTTCAGTACATAAGGCAACTATTCAAATATCATAAGCTCCAGATGAGGTGTTAACTGTGGAAAATTATTCATAGATGCATGCAAAACAGACCTGCTAACTGGCACGTTAGTATAGCAGTTATGCTATCATTTATTCTGCAGCAACTTAAACCAACACTTCAAAGATCCTTTTAAACTTCACAGTGAATAAAAGGTTTCAGTGCTGCCAATGTTACTGTATGGGCCATTGTGCATTCTTTGTTTGGTAAAGCATGAACCATTACAAGAACAAAGGTTCACCTGTCACATATGTTGGTTTTGTTTTGGACACTTACTCAATACTGGATGCTGGATAAACACGGTTTGCTAGTAAAAGAGTTTTGGTCACTTTTAGTCGTGCATTCCTTTTTTAAAAAGCACAAACAATTCTGCTCTTTTCTGTAAGCACATAGTAACACATGATTGTAGAAATCATATCAAACTGCTACATTTGATTAGATTCAATAAAGACTGGGGGAGGGGGGTATACAGTCCCAAAAACGCTCTTATATTCACTATAAATAAATAAATAAAGGGCACATTTATGTCATCTTATAGCAACTATCTTCCATTACACAGCCACTGTGATATCCCATCAGTAGGATGGGGACTTGACAACACAGGCAAAAATCAATGTGGATTACACAGGCAACATTAACAATTAAAGGAAAGTGTACAGAATAACACTGGTTCCTCTGCACTGCAAGTTCATTACTTAGTGCAAGATGATCACTATTATATACCGTGTATAAGCAGAACTTCAAAAAATATAATGAACTTGAATTTAGTCTGTGAGAGTTTTCTGTATCGACTTCTCTCTGTGTCTCACACATGCACAAACAAAAATGTCTCTGTTCAAGTTCAAAGGAGTGGGCATGGCTAAAAGAGCCGACAGTCCCCACCACAGGACAGCAGAAACAACAGATGGCCACTCCTCTAAAGGCTTCCTCCCCCACATCCGTCCGACCCCCAATTCCTCACTCTTCACATCCCCCCCCATCTGCAGTTATTCCTCATCCCCCCCTTTTTCTCCCCTCTGTGGGCTCCAGCAAATCATCATGCCCAAGTAATCATCAAGTCTGTAGGGGTAGCATTTTTCCCCCTCTCCCATCTTCCTCTCTAGTGTCTCCCCATTTTTCCACCTCCCTTCTCAGATGGAAACCATAACCCTAGTGTCTGTCTCAAACCCTTTACCAAGCCCCTGCCACCCCAAAATAACTCAACCTCTAACCAATCCTTACACCCCCCTCCTCTTCAAACTCCTCTTCCTCTCCTCTGTAGCCCTCATCCTTGCCTTCCTTTGTACTCAGTAAACACCTAAAACCTCTTCTGAAGCACCACATCCCGTTCATCAGTCTTTCCACACCACCCCAGCATCCACCCGAATCCGTCCCTCCTCTTTAAACTCCTTCTTTTGCCTCAGCTCCGATCATTTTCTATAGCAGTATAGAAACAAAGTAAGTAATGCTTATCTCACAGTGATTATGCTTGTTTCCCTTCAATTAAACACACCCCAAATGTATCTAAAATCATTCATTAATGGTGTTTGCTTTGTTTATTTATTTATTTTTTTAATCCACTCTTTAGCCCAGTTGCAGCACCGTGAGTTATGAATAACTTCCAGGGGTTTTACATCAATAACAATGGCATGTTTCTGAGAGCTGGCATACAAAGTACACAATGGGTTAGAATAGTGCTGAATAACAGCACTTTCTACAAGCTTAATATGGCTAATAAAAACCAATTACAATATGCCTAGATTTGCTCCAATACAAATCTGGATTAGCTTGAGCTGTTCCTAACAACACACACGTCACTCAAACACCA